CTCAATCGGCATTCAAATGATTTTAATACCATATATCGAGTTATGCATCTAACAACGGTCTTACAATTCTGAACGTGGCTCCGGATTGGATCAAACAAACTCTATGGGAGGATGCAAATGGCTTAGAGAATATTAGATATTAACTATGTTTGTTTTTCTTTCCGTTGTATCAAAAAAAAATTATACAATTTTCACCACCTTGAGAAATGACGTCTTCAATCAAGTGTGATTCAATTTTGAGTGTTTCAACTCTGAAAGACTTGGAATATTAAGGAAGTGTTAGTTCCCTTGTGATTCGTTCCAAAGATGAATTCATCCAGACCCCATAATCACGCTCATTGAATATGGTTCTAATGGATGAAAAGGTATGTTACATTCATCACTAATATTGGATAATGAGGAAAAGTGAAAGACAACAAAAAATGTTGTCTAGCGAGGAAGTTTTTGGAATAATTTAAAAAATGAAGTTTTAGCGGGTCAGCATTCGGTCACCCGCCATGTCACCAATCAAATTTCCATTTTTCTACATGTTTTTATAAACGAAGTGTGGCTTACAATCGAGAAAATTGAAATATAACTCCTCCCTTCTCACGTTGAATCCACCCGATGCTACCTCACAAAAAACACATTGATGAATTTTTCTTATCACAAAGTTCAAAAATAGCAAATTTCACCAATTCATATCTGTAATGTAAGTCAATTTTCAATTCAACAATTCAAAATGAATCGTAAGTAGCGAACTTCAAACAAATTATCAACTTCAATATGATAGAGCCGTTTAAGAGGAACATCTTAAAATGCCTTATCTGTGGGATGAAACTTCCATATGTTTACACCTTCTTATCTAAATAAAAGGTATAATTTTATTTTAATTAATTTTATTTACAAAAAGGTATAATTTTACCTTCGTCCCGGTAGGTTTTGTCAATTTTGAATTAATTAGGTGATGAGAAATAATAAAAATAGAAATTGTGTAGTTGAAGTTTGTGTATAACAGAGAGAAATGAGCACACTCACAAACTATTTACTTTAATTTAAGTCAAAAGCGATAAATTTTTGTTACAATACACCAAGGAAAGTTGGCAAAATCAATGGAATGTGTACCGACCTTTCCCAATACTCTGTATTTCTTATTCACTTGTGGAGGCAATAATTACTTGCTAGAAATCCTAGAATGATAAGTAATTCATTCTTTAAAATTCTCCATGTTTTATAAGTTTATAATTGATACATTGATATTCTTCCGCATACAAAAATTGATACATTGATATTTTTAATAGATGTTAATATGTTATCATTACTTGCAAGTTTCTTAAAGCACAACTGATAACCTTATTTTAAGCTTATCAGTCTATTAATTAACTTTTTATGATTTACAAATTTTTTATTTCACGCGCTAAATAATCAAAATAAGTTGCTTTTGTGACTAGCTCAATTAAAGTTACTTTCCATATTAGTTCTTCATTCATATATTTTTCTTAATTTAATTAATAAATATATTCTAAATATTTTTTTACACAAATCAATAGATTTAATCAATTCGGCCATTTTTAGCTAAAACTTAATGAATTTCAAAAGATTGAACTGTTTCAATCAATTTTAGTGTTACCGAACATATTCTTATTTATTGACAAAATTTAATCAGCACGTGAGATTATAAAGTAAAGTCAATATGGTTGAAATTTATATCAATAAATGAATAACTAATCAAAACCACAAATTAGTTATAGTTTTATAAAAATAGAAGTGTCTATTTTTATGTATAACTAAAAAAGAAAAGTTAGTCTATACGGAAATTCATTATTCATGTTTCTACACAAAAACACAAGACTCTTATTTTCATTTTTTAATTCACTTTTTACTTGAAATTTTCATTAATTTCTCCGTGCAGGGCACGGGTCGGATACTAGTTTAAATCAAATGAGAAAGCTGGCTTAATGAGGATAATGTGAAGTTTATATTCACTACGCTATGTTGCAATTGTATGTTAGGCTGCTCCACTTTTCCTGTTATAAAAAGATTAACAGTACATACAAGTGCAACCTAACAAATTAGTAAAAGTAGATATTCGCATTCACTTGTTTAACACTTTTTATTTGATACAAATACAAATGTTCGAATGATAAGTATAAAAAGTGTATCATATTTAAAAATTGTAAATAGATCGATAGTCTTGTGCAATAATGAGATTGTAATACTCTTGTGTTGCTACGATGCTTTTTATTCATTTTGATTTGCACATTTGAGTTTCTCAAATTTGTCACCGAGTATTTTAATAAAAAATTGATCTAATAATCCACCTATTTTGAAGGAATGAATGCTCTAGATTCATACTCACTTATCACGAAGGTTGTGCTTTTCACTCGAATTCGTGCATATATACACATATTCTGTGTACAATTTGCATCAAAAGAAAAAGATCGATTGAAGCGGATAATGAGAAATTTACTATGCTATGTTGCAATTGTGTGTTGGGCTACTATACTTTTCGTTGTTATAAGAATTGAAGTTCAACATAAGTGCAACCTAACAAAGTAAAAGTAGAGATTGGCATTTACTTGTTAAACACCTTTTATTTGATACAAACACAAATGTTCGAATGGTAAGTACGAAGTATAAGAGAAATTTCTCACAAATACTTATTAAGGAGTACTCCGTATTATTTATATTATATATGACCTATTATTTTCCTTATCTTAAAATATATATTTCTCTCCAACCACCGGCAAACCGGTTAATTGGAATGGCCGAAATTGGATTTTGGATACAATAAAATTGATAGGCGGATCTAGCAAGTATTTGATTTCCACTTGATATGTATAAGAAATCCCATCATTCCATGTGTGCTCCCGAAATAAACACTCACTTGGACAGTATACGAAAATTTATAAAATGAAAAATGTATATTTAAGATTCATTAAGATGAAAGATAAATGATACTACGTACGTTACGTACATACCGAGTATAATGTTTTCTTTCAAGGAAAATGTGAGATAGTTTTTTTCAAGGAAAATATGAGACAGTTTTAGAGCCCGTTTGGAGAACTCTGTTTTCGGCTTATCAGGCTTATCAGCCAGCTTTTTCACCAAACACGTAACTTTTACTTTCGCGCGCTGAATTGTGTAATAAGGCGAAAAAGTAAGGTTGGAGTTACTTTTCTGGCTGTATTGGCTGAAGTTACTGTAGAGGACCGTTTTAGCTATTTTTACATATAATTTTTTCTTTAATTTATTAATAAAATATATTTTTAAAATATTTTTTTCTTAAATCAGCAGAATCAGCCAAAACAGCCACTCCAGCCAGAATATCATAAATTTCAGCAGAATCAGCCAAAACAGCCGATTTTGGTGCTACCAAACGGGCTCTTAGTCTTGTAGAACGTAACGGACCGGATGAAAATTATTATTTTTGGAGGTGTTTTACTACACAGAAGATGTCGATGTTTAAAAGAAAAAAACAATCGAACATCGAAATTGCGTGAAAAAGTTTGTTAAAACAACATTACCTGATTGCCACAAAGAGGACCGGCTACATACCCATGTACTAAAGTATTTTCAGGATGATCCATGATGAAAATCGCGTTGAAAAATGCATTGATGGTTTAGTGGTCATTTTGCTTTTTCAATCATATTCTCAAATCAAAAAAATAGTTAATGTTTGACTCCATTGTAAATGATGGAAAAAATAGTTAATGTTTAACTCCATTTGATAAATTATTTACTTCAATGATCAGATATGGGGTATGTTTGACAAATGACTTATCACTAAACTTGTAGCTAGTTTTGCCAATTTTAGCTCTTTCATTAATCAAAGCAGTTAAACGAAGTACTACGTAATTTTTAAGTATTAGTTAAAGGGGGTGTTTGGTAAACGTCTTTTCAAACTCAAAAATGGCGGTTTGACCACTTTCAGCATTTCCAATAAGTGAAAACGTTGTTTGGTAAATATATGGCGGTTCGGCATTGGCAATTTCGGGCGAAAATGCTGAAATGAAAGCGCTGCTAATAGGAGAGTTTTGGATTGACGTTTCGAAAAATGGCGTTTTCTACTGATTTTACGACCAAATAGCTAAACTACCAAACATCTTTTAACAACCCGCCAATTTATTCCGTTAGTTAAACCCGCTAACTGAATCCGCTTTTAACAACCCGCCAATTTGGATTGGTGTTTCGATGATTAATTCAATTTTTAATAATAAAAATTTACATATTCAGAAAATACATTAAAATCTCTTCAAAGTTGTAAACTACAAATTAGAATATAATTAAAATTTAACATTATACTCCCTTCGTCTCCCTAACTTTGTCCCGTTTTACCTTTTTCGTCCGTCCTATTAAGTTTGTCTCATACCATATTTGGTAATATTTGAGTGGCTACAATTCATTCTTACTTTATTCACACTTTATCAATTCAATATCAACCACACAATTCTACTTTTTCTTAAAAATCACACCACGCCTCTTTGTCCCAAACTTAGGGGGGCGGAGGTAGTAATTAAAAGAATAAAATGAAACCATTTGATCAAGAAAAAACAAATTTGCAAATCAATTTGGGACGAAAGTAGTATATAGATTGAAATTGACTCGCATTGTTTCATTAGAGCATCCACATTGATGATCTTCAAATTTACAGTTTTTTCATGACTTATTATTTTTATGTCACCTCCACATAAGATAATCTCAAATAATCTCCAAACCAACAAATTTCTCCTCATTCATGATTTTAATTTATCATGGATAGGAGCATGAGCATGCACGAACTACAAAGCTAGTCATCACCATAATTATGAGTATATGCCTAGAAGTTGAAAATAATCTCAAAATAATTCAGTTTTAGAATTTGATACCAGATTATTTTATCAAATAATCTCATAAAAATAATCTCAACTCCTCATCCATGATCCCAAAAAAAATCTTCCACATCATCAAAATGATCTCAAAAATAATATATGAATGCCCTTACGCTGTGTTTGGATGGAGTGTTATGAAGTGTTAGTAATGGTGTTAGTAAGTGTAGACAGTGGTCCGGAAGGGAAGGTAAGTGTAAAGTGTTAAGTATAAATTAACCCTGTTTGGAAGAGTAAAAAAATGGAGTGTTAGTAAAGGAAGTGTTTTCACATAAATTTACAAAAATAACCTTATGCTTTTTAAATCTTAATTTATAAAAGGAGAAATACGGAAGAAGAAGGAGGCGAAAAGAGCATTGCCGGCCAACATCAATCCATTCGTCTCCTGTTGCCCATGGATTCCAGCTCCGGTAATTGAATTTGATTCACTTAGGTATCCGGAGAAGCCCTGTAAAAGAACATTTCAAGTCTCCGCCTACCTCTCAAATCTCAGTCGTCGGAAATGGAGATCGTCGGTGGGTGGCAAAGGCTGTTTCTGGGCGGATTAGCCTCGTGGGTGGTGCTTTCTTGTACCATGTATATCTCATATATACACACATCAATCTATCACATATATATAAATCAAACATATAAGGAATATATAAAATCTGTCTCTGAGAGAACTAACCTGGAATAACAAATGATGAATAGATGAGATGAAGGTTGAAAAGTGAGAGACGAGTAGAAGAGATTGCCGCAGAAGAGATGGAGGCAGATGAGCAGACAACGATCGAGAGGGCTGTGCGGCAAATAGAAGTAGTGAGCTATTTTTTTATCGGTAAATGAAGGGTAGTAATTGTCAACACTTCAATACACTCCAAATTGGGGTGTTAAAAAGTGGACAAATGAGGTGTTGAGGGGGTAATTACTAACACCTTTTAACACTTACTAACACCCGTTAACACTTCTTAATTTCTCTCCCAAACAAGTGTTAATATCAACACTTCTCAACACTTCCATTACTAACACCCCTAACACTCCATCCAAACACACCTTTAGTGCTAGTAATTTTGTTTCACTTTGGATGAGTGTGGTCCACCGATTTGGACTAATATTGGGTGTAAATAAAGAAGGGTCAGTTCTGTGTGGGAGAAGACGATCAAGGAGTAGGGTGAATCGGGCGTGATGGATGACAGGTAAACGAACTAAGCAAGCGGCAGCAGTTGTGCTTGTTTCATGATTTGGTACATTCATTCATTTACTCATGAATCATGATTCATTCATCCGATCCGTAATGGTTTATTCGAAGAAGATGCAGCGGCCGCATGTTGTGGCCGGCCTTCTGCTCGGGCGGTCTCATGTTTTTGTCTCTTGTTTTATGTCCCCAATTCCGTCCATACAATGTAGGCAAGGAATTAATTAATGAGACGTTTGATCTACTGCCTCCTCCGTAACTTAAAAACCTTCTCATTTCAAAAGTAGGTAGATTAAGAATAGTGAAAGATGATACTCTATGAATTATTGAGGGTATGATGGGAGATAGTGGAATAATGTAATGGAATGTAGGATAAATCCAAAAAAAATAGTTGTAGTAGTGTATTATTTTCAGAATTATTGAGGGTATAATGGGAAGATTTAGAAATGAGAATTTTTTTTGTTACAGACGAAAAAGGAAAGTGAGAAGATTTTTATGTTACGGAGGGAATATTAATTTTATGATGAAATACTCGTACATGATATAGAAATGACCATATACTATCTATTTCTTTTTCCTTCTTTTTATCGTAATGCGTTACATAGAAATGTCACTCAATATTACAGACAGATCCAAGTTGCCATTTAGCATCTCTGATTACGCACAAATTCTCGGAGCCCGTTTTAGCATCTTTGATGGCATCTTTCAATTTATCAAGTATCAACCTTTATCAATTAACTTTTTTTATATTAACCTAATTTTTAATTTCGCATGCACAATTACTAAAAAAGAATGACACCTCATCCCTGAGGGCCCCCAACACCGACCGGACGACATGATAGAGGATGTAAATTGGACTACAATCACAATCTGACAGATAGAGAGTGAGGCTCTGTTCCACAATTACGAACTCTCGTTTCTCACTAGGGTGAGGAACCCTAACGACCGTCTTCCCTCTTTATAGGGATTGAGATTTTCTGTTGTCCCTATCAATATGGGGTTTGAGCGGCAGATTATACCGATTTTAAATGTTCTAACACATGGGATTGCAATTACGTCGGAGGAGATATCTTTAGTGGATGGACGAGGTGCGGTTGAGATCTTATATCGAGTTTGGATTGTGAAGCCTTGATCGACCATTCGGACGGTGGTCGTGAAGCCTTGATCGACCATTCGGAATGTGGTGGAGTTGATATTCATCCATATTGCAAGAGCTAGTATTCCACCGGAATCGGGAAAAACTTTGTGGAAACATTTTACTTTCAGTATTATTTTCTCTTTAGTTGCAATTGTTTTTGTTTTAGTCCGAGTAGATTTTGTTTGGATTTTTGGAGTTCTTTTGATAGACACAGTTTCGATTCTAGTCGTTTTAGGCCTAAATTTGCTCGTTTCAGGTTTAGCGAGTCATGATTTTTTATATGAAGGGACTGACTCTAAGTCTACTCTTAGGATTCACGATTGGATCTGTAAATTCTGTCTGAAGGTAGTCTTGTAAGTGTTCTCGATTTTAATATAACGGCCGCTCTTTAATAATAATAATAAAAATCACATGCACATTTATGAAATAATAAAAAAAGTAAGGTTAACATTACTTTTCTGCAGACATAATTAACAAAAATTACTGTAGAAGACATTTTAATTATTCTTCATATAATTTTTTTTCTTAATTTCATTAATTCAACATATTCGACCAATTTTGATGTTGCCAGCTGACGGGCTCTTAATTTCAAAAACATCGTCGGTTGATATCACATGTTTTTTACTACGTATTAAGACAAGTGATTTCACTCTATTATTCGTACTCCCTCCATATTATTTTAATGGCTACACCTTCCATTTAGATAGTAATTTTTGTTTAATTTGTTACACTTCATTATTTTGGTAAGTTTTCCGATTAAAAAGACACAATTACTCTCAATTTTTCTACTTTTCTCATTCTCTTTCAAACTTATTCACATTCTCTTAATATTTTTTATACATTATTCATTACTCCTACAATTTTATTTTAAAGAAATCAAGTTTTTCGTGAGAATTGGTGGACCAATGCAGCCATAGGAAAACTTTTGTCCTCAAGCGGGGCATAAAAATTCTAACTTAATTGGTTGTAAGTAAAGAATAAAAAGATGACATATAATTTTTTATTTTATGTGATGAATTGTGTGATAATTAAAATAAGTAAAGTTTGAGTTTTTTATGGTTACGTTGTCTTGACTTCAAATTAGATTATGGTGAATTAATTATGCGCGTTGAATTATGTAATAATCAATTATCAAAATAATAAGGTTCGAGTTACTCTTCTAGTAGTTGAATTGGCTGCAATTGCTAAAAATGTGAACATCCTTGGAACTTTGACTTCCTTTGTGGGAAGTCCACATTGATGTTATGTTAGAATCTCACACCGGAAAAGTTTGAATCAACAAATTGTTATATTAAGACATGAGCTACTCCTCCTATCATGTGAACTTTTAGGATGGAATCTCGAGTCTTAACATGTTCTCAATTCACAAAGTGAATTTTACCTATTTTTTGTGAAATATATAAATTTTATATTGTTATGAAAGAGTTTTAAAAAATGCGAAGTAATGTTTATGTATGATTTTCTAATTATAGATAGTTTCATATTAAAAATATTACCGAGTACTACGTATTAATCAAACTTGACCATTGATCAACAAAAATACTCAAATATCTTTTTATATTTCAATGTGGCACACGTATAAAATTGCAACTTACAATATACACATTAATTGATAAAAAATGATAGTGACAAAATTTTGGGACAACAACAAATGAATTATGACAATGTTTGAAGGGAGAGATGGAATACAAAGTATACTTCTACATTCAATTTCAAACTAGAGGTGTTTTGATGTAGACTGAATTAGTCTTAGGGTATGTTTGGTACAACTAGCTGAAAAGATACTTTTATGAGCTTTTTAATAACTGTTGACTTTTAATGACTGAAAAGATCTTAAAAAGAAAAGGTGGTAGCTGTTTGGTAAAAAGCTGACTGTTTGATTTAGTTTGGTTTGGTATACAAGCTGTTAGGACTAATTAGTACTAAAAGTCACGAGCTTTTCTCAGATGCTACTCCCCGTAGCATCTCCAAAAAGATCTTTTAATTTTTGAAAAGCTCTTCAAAGTTGTCATGCCAAACATATAATTAGAAGCTTTTAGAGACTTTTTGAACAGTAAAAAAGTTAGAAGGCAAGGACTTATGTCTGCCAAATAGCCTTAGAATAGCTCAAATCACACTAAATCATAATAGATCAAATCTCAATGGTAAAAACTAAAAACCACATAGGGGGTGTTTGGAACTGATTCTGCTTCTGCTTCTTTTTTAAAAGCAGAAGCAGAAGCAGAATCAGTTTTCAGAAGCTGGTATCCACCAGCTTCTAAAAAAACTGATTCTGAGAGTAAATTAGAGCTCCATAAGTGCTTCTGGAATTTCACCCAAACACTCCAGCTTCTGCTTCTGCTCCCTGAAGGAGCAGAATCAGTTTTGAGAATCAGATCCAAACACCCCATAATATGAGTCTTTATAAAAAAAATTCAAAACATCCTAATTAAGCTCAGTTAAAACCGGCTAACGGCTAACCCCACCACTTATTTCAGTGAAAATCATTAAAAGAATATTGGTGTCAACTTGTCTTAGTTTTGGTATGGAGGATGTTAAATGGCTATGACAGACCATAAAAGGAGAAATTGATACTCCCTCCGTAACATTTATATCTCCCCACTTTTCTTTTTTGGATGTAACATTCATATCTTCTCATTTCATAATCTTCCAATCATACCCTCAATAATTTTAAAAATAGTACACTATTACACCTACTTTTATTGGATTTATCCTTCATTCCAACACACTATTTCACTATCTTCCCATCATACCCTCAATAATTTATATCATCTTTCACTATTCTTAATCTACCTACTTTTCAAATGGGAACATATATACGGAGTATCTTAGAGAGAGGGAGTAAATAAAATGAACAGTTGATATTAGGGATCAATTCAACTTGTCGCTTATGTACTGTGATTGCGTATTACTCCGTATTATATCCTTTTCACATGAAAGGGATTGACCACGTCGGGTCGGGTGGACACTTAAGCTTTGGAAACCTCTTGGAAGATTCCGATTTCTGTCATCCACAGCTGTGCTTCAAACATATCATTGTACTCCATATCATCTTTAATCCCGTTCGAATCTCAACGGTTAGGTCCCGGGTTCGAATCCCGGCAATTGCGATGAGAAGTTATTATGCTAAAAATGCATAGTGTAGGATTAGGGCTGGGAAAAAACTCCCGACTCCCGACTCCCGATCCCGATCCCGACAATCCCGATCCCGAAAATCCCGATCCCGACAATCCCGATCCCGACTAGTCGGGAATTTTTCCCGATCCCGACTAAGTCGGGACGGGACCGGGATTTTTTTTTAAAAAAAGTCGGGATCGGGAAAATCCCGACATCCCGACATTATATATACACACACACACACATGTATATAATTATATATGAATATATAAAAAATGAATATGTATCTAAATATTTACACATCTTTTTTAATTACTTATTCCTTACATAAATTAATCTTTTACTACGAGTATCTTACAATATCAAACTTCTAAAACTATTCGGCATTTGTCCGAAAATGAATATTCGGGATCCTAACTAAGTAGAGATTATTCTTGATCCCAACAATCTAAATCACAACATACAATATTACAAATTTTGCGGTTCTGATGAACTCTTTAAAAAATTATGATCGAGACTAAGATTTCTTTCTTTAGTAGATAATCATAATATGTATTTACACATTATATTCATTGGTCACAAAGTTTCTCAATGAGTCTACTTAGTTTTGAATTTTAAATAATATACGTTACATATCCTTCTTTTAGTGTTTTTTATATATTGTTTGAAGTAAGTTTCACTAAGCCTTGATAGCTTATTCAAAAATTATACTATTAATTAATTGAAGTTACACATAAAAATTATTCTAAAAGTATATACTAGTGTGTGTTTGAGATGATAATTATTACACTAATTTTTATAAGTAGATGATGATAAATATGGTATAACAGTAAACAAAGAATAATATTGAAACCACTAAATATCAAAGTTAGTGTTTAACTAAAGAAATTACATAATTTTATGTTTGATACTTCATTGTCGGGATTTAGCGGGATTAAGCGGGATTCCCGATCGGGATCCCGAC